AAACAGGGTGATTAATGTTTTGCAAACCTCAAATCCCCATCTCATATGATGTGGCAAAAATAAAATAAAAAATACTCAAAAAGAGCCCAGTAGACTAGATGCTCACCTGAATTTCGCAACCTCCCCATAGTGCCCCAAGGGGGAAAAAAAAGTTTGTAAATTTGCTCAGGGGCCTATAGTGTGTCTGCTCATCAACACCCCAAGGCAAACATTTGTGCCAAATTTCACTAGAATTGTTCAAAAACTGAGGAAGTAGTTCACGACACAAGATTCGACCGACCGCGCGACCGCCCAACCGACTGCACGCTGATTCCAGTATACCCCCTTCAAACAAAACGGATGGCAAAATCTCACTTGAGCATTCTGCTCACATGGGCTAAAAAATATGGAATAAATCAATCAACAAGCTGTATGCATGCGCACAGGTAGTTAGAGCCCATGTGTCCCTCCAACTTTTAAATGTCTAGGCCAAATACACCTTTACCATTACTCTCGCAGTTGCTAGATTCAAATTGTATCCATATCACACAATCTTTCAGTATTTACAATGGTTGCTGGGAAAACTTCTCATTATGGTCAGCTATAAACTTTTCCCATACAGTGTTGCGTTCCTGAGCAGATCCAATTAGTTTTACACCAATATTTGTCATATAAATGCATGAATCTACTACTTTTTTTTTTCTTCATGAATCTCCATTGTATCATATGCTGAAACCTTTATGAACTGATTCATTCTACAAGAACCAAGTTTTGAACTCATGCCTATGATTCTCAACAATACAATACAACTATGAATTCAGCACATGTGATAGTTGAACTGCAGAGTTAATGGGAACAACTCCCTGTTTAATATCAAAGCAACAATGTGCAAAAAAAAAAACACTTCGCTTTCATATTACCTGAAGACCTATCCCCAGAGGTCAATGTTGCAGTAGAGCAGCCATCCTTTGAGGTCGCTGGTGTAGTTGAGCTGCCATCCTCAGAGGTCACTGTTAGAGTTGAGTTGCCATGCTCAGAGTTCACCCGTGCTGTAGAGCAGCCATCCTTTGAGGTGCTGGTGTAGTTGAGCTGCCATCCTCAGAGGTCACCGTTAGAGTTGAGTCGTCATGTTTAGAGTTCACCCGTGCTGTAGAGCAGCCATCCTTTGAGGTCGCTGGTGCACTTGAGCAGCCATCGTCATCAGACGCTTCAGATTCTTTGCGTGCCCTCATTCCTATGGGAAGGGAAAGACATATAAAATGCGAACATCAATAATTTGCATACACGATATAACAACAGTCAATATAAGAGAGAGAGAGCATAAACAAATTAACAAATTTGTAATAGTGCAATCAAACAAATACAAAATAAATATATACCAAACACAAAGAGTTTATGAAATAAATAAATAGTAAATATCACTTGATGAACATTTTTGTTTTCTGCGTTAGGTTTGCTTCAGATTTGGGAATATGAAATGGTGCAAGTTTTTTCCATCAATATTTTGCAATTGTTTTCATATAAATGTACAATTGGGTGTATCATTTACTGGTTGTTTTGTTGCTCGATGTTATTATCCTATATGCTATCCCAATTCAAAATTATATCAGCTCTTATTTCTATTACTACTGCCTCGCTGTTATAAATCTGAACTCGAGATAATCATAAATTTGCTGTACATATAATATGGTACATTGAACCAATGCAAAATTTGTATAAATGTTTACCTACCTCCTATATCTATATGATGGAGATGACTCCCTACTCGGGTGATTTCTTGGATGGCAAGTGGGGTCTGGTAGATTGTTTGATTGATTGTAGAGGAGTGTCCCATATGCCGGTAAAATAGTTCCAAGTCAGCATCAGGCAAGTCGAGGGATGCGTAAATTGTAGACACTCTGTGCCTGTTCTTGGTGGCATTCACCGTAACGTTGGACGAAAGGCTGATGTTGTCTGAGACATTCTTTAGAGCATGCCACCCTCCAACATGGTCATGAGACATTTGAGTACAAGCGAATATGTACTTATTATCAGGTCTTATTCCTGCTGTATGCCGGATTTCCTGATCACATAGAAGTTGCACAGGTTTCACAGTGTCTCTTGGGAACAGGACTGGAACCAAGCGATTAGTGCCCTTCCCAGTCTGGTAGCATATCTTGAGCTGAGATAAAAGTTCCTGATGGGCTGGATTTTTAACTTCATGAATCTTGTCTTTCTGCATCCATACACCCTCTTCTGCATCTCTCCATTCTTCGGTTGTAAGCCTGCTGGGTTCTCCACCACGCCTTGCATTCCACAATGTCAATCGCGAGCAAGTCAGATCTCGTAACTCTACAAATGTGTGAGAATCCCAAACCAGGAACTCATCAGAGATGATTTCTGTGACTTTCTTTTGAGTGTATGTCTTCAATGCTTCAATGTCAGCCTCAAGCGGGAGCTCTGCAGGCTTCCTCAAACGCACTTGGCGATTCTTTTGGATTTCGTAGTGTGCATCCCCAAAAATCAAATTCTGGTTCAAGTCAAGAATCTCTACGAACTTGTCAATCTCAGATGCATCTTCATCTAGCCTGGATACAAGAAAACTAGCTTTAGTGATTTTGCTAGCTTTTTTCAGCACAAAGTACAAGCAGAGTTTCAGTCCTGGCTTTAGTTTGCCTTCAGTTTCATCATAAGTGAGCGTCTGGATTGCCTCTGTCAAAGATTCGAAGTGCTCTCTACTGAACATGTCTCCAGCATGTCCCATTGTGAAATCTGCAGTCCCATGAACCTCGTGTTTCTTCTTAAACTCAGTGTATAAGGTGGCAAGTCTTCTCATATCAGCCATAACTGATTTTCTTACTTCAAGTTTCTTGTCTTTTTTGGATCTGTGTTTAGTCCACAGTCGATGTCCAACATTAACTATCACTTTGTCCGTTCTACACGTATTCCCAACGTCATCATTCTGGAATCTACTAAGTATGTCAGTGACAAAGTCTGGGTGTTTTTGATACACTGGATCTTTCCCTTCCATGAGGTTTACTGGTACTCCTTCAGATGGAGTGCATATATCACCTTGGCAAACTTTCCTGTGATGCCAGAAGAAATGTGAGCTGTAAAAGCCCTTGCAGTTACTGCACATTTTAAGGTTGTCATCATTCCCTGATTTTGGTAACTTTTCTCTTTCATAAATGGGGTTGTCATCTTTCATACGTTCTCTATTTACTTGGTATATGCCTTCCTTCCTGAACTTTGAGAACACCTTGTCTCTCTCCCGCTTTGGCAGCTGCATGGCAGATTTCACCTGCTCCTTATCCTTATGTACCAAACAAATGTGTCTCGAGAGCTTTTCACCACAAGCTTTGTTGCAGAAAGGGCATGGCCTTGATGGCTTCTTGTACCTTGTTTTCTTGTCCTCGTGTTTGTGTGTCGTTTCCATATTATCATTGGTTTTCTGATGTGGCAATTCTGGCCCTGAAAATGATCCTGGAAGGCACTGTTTATAAATCTTTGTAGGTTTTTCATCTGGTGTAGATATAACAGAAGATGGTCTCTTGCGCACTTGAACATTTCTTGGATGAATCTCAAGAGTTGCCTCATCATCACTGCTGTATTCCTCGTTGCTACCCTCCTCTGGTCGATATGTTGGATCAAGGTCAGATTCATCACTGTCAAAATGATTTTGGAGTTCACTTGATGATTTAGATAGGTTAGGGTAGATGAACCTTCTTGGGCGTGTGTACTGCTCTTCCTCATCTGAGGAACAACTTGATGGAGATACACAGTTTTGTGGATGCTCAGATTGTTCTAATCCTTTGAACTCTCCTTCAACTGGTTGGTGTCCTTGTGTCTCTCCTTGTTGGAGTCCTGGAGTCCCTCTTTCTTGTTGGTGGACCTGTGTCTCTCCTTCTTGTTGGTGGAAATGTATGTCTCCTCCTTGTTGGTGTCCTATAGTCCCTCTTTCTTGTTCGTGTCCTTGTGTCTGTCCTTCTTGCTGATTAATCTGCATCTCTCCTTCTTGTTGGTGTCCTAGAGTCCCTCTTTCTTGTTGTGTCTCCCTGTGCTGGTGGATTTGTGTTCCTCTTTCTTGTTGATGCCCTAGAGTCCCTATCTCTTGTTGGTTGACTTGTGTCTCTCTTTCATGTTGGTGGCCCTCTGTCTCTCCTTCTTGCTGGTGGACATGTGTATCTCCTCCTTGTTGGTGGACATGTGTCTCTCCTTGTTGGTGGACATGTGTATCTCCTCCTTGTTGGTGTCCTAGAGTCTCTCTTTCTTGTTGATGGACTTGTGTCTCCCCTTGTTGGTGGATTTGTGTTCCTCTTTCTTGTTGGTGGTCCTCTGTCACTCCTTTTTGGTGGACTTGTGTCTCTCCTTGTTGATGGATTTGTGTTCCTCTTTCTTGTTGGTGGTCCTCTGTCACTCCTTTTTGGTGGACATGTGTATCTCCTCCTTGTTGGTGTCCTAGAGTCTCTCCTTCTTGTTGGTGGACCTGTGTCTTTCCTCGTTGGTATATATGTATGTCTTCTCCTTGTTGGTGTCCTAGAGTCCTTCTTTCTTGTTCATGTCCTTGTGTCTGTCCTTCTTGCTGGTGGCCCTCTGTCTCTCCTTCTTGTTGGTGGACCTCCATCTCTCCTTCTTGTTGGTGTCCTAGAATCTCTCTTTCATGTAGGTGGCCCTCTGTCTCTCCTTCTTGTTGGTGGACCTCCATCTCTCCTTCTTGTTGGTGTCCTAGAGTCTCTCTTTCATGTAGGTGGCCCTCTGTCTCTCCTTCTTGTTGGTGGACCTCCATCTCTCCTTCTTGTTGGTGTCCTAGAGTCTCTCTTTCATGTAGGTGGCCCTCTGTCTCTCCTTCTTGTTGGTGGACATGTGTATCTCCTCCTTGTTGGTGGATTTGTGTTCCTCGTTCTTGTTGGTGGTCCTCTGTCTCTCCTTGTTGGTGGACCTGTGTCTCTCCTTGTTGGTGGACATGTATGTCTTCTCCTTGTTGGTGCCCTAGAGTCCCTCTTTCTTGTTCATGTCCTTGTGTCTGTCCTTCTTGCTGGTGAACCTGCATCTCTCCTTCTTGTTGTTGTCCTAGAGTCCCTCTTTCCTGTTGGTGGACTTGTGTCTCTCCTTCTTCTTCTTCCCTTTGAACTTGTCCTCTGAAATGCTGAGGGGAAAAATAATTAGAAATTAGATGAATAAAGCCAAATAATGAGTAGAAACTTGTCCAAAATGTAATCAGTTTAGCTATATCACATGGGGCAATTTTTAGTATTATGGGTAATGTACAGAGGTAAAGAATTGAATCTCACATACATGACTTGTATTGCTTTGTCTATCATGGGTTACAAGCAAAAACATGAAAAGGTAAAATTTGACTTTTATCACATCTGATAATAATCTTGTAATTTCCATCATACTCTAAATTTATCAAAATTAATTTTACCTTTTTCTTCCACGGCAGTTCTCGAACTCCATAATTGTACAGAACTTCGGTCCCTTTAGATATGTTCTTTGTAGCAATTATCCACATGTGTGGATGTGACTTCATATCTAGTATCTTCATTCGGGCGTTCTCCTCCCTCCCTTGTCCATGATTCACGAGGCGGCCGAGTCTATCCCCAAAAGCACACTCATCAGTTGCATCAAGACTGTATTCCAAAGAAAAGTGTACAATATTGTATGTCATTCAACTAGATGGATGTTCGACTGCGCGCAGTCGAAAATGATGCCTCCACTATTGCGCGATTTACATATTAAGCCCAATTACATAACGTGATCACAAGCTCTTATTGCATATATAATGAGCCCTGTGACCTTTGACCTCATAACCCAAAAATCGAATTAGTTCATCATTGGCCCCTTAAGGTACATACATGGGCCAAGTTTGGTGAGAATCCGTCAATCGGTTCTTGAGAGAACACGACCACAAGCTATTTATTGCCCTATGACCTTTGACCGCATGACCCCCAAAAGTAATATGTAGATTTAACATCTTATGTACAAATTTAACACTTTGTACACAAAGTCTGAGTGACCTTTGACCACACTAAAATGTATAGGCCTCCCTAGCTAATGCATCTACCATTCAAATTTGGTAATGATAGGACGAACCATCCAAAAGTAATAGGTAGTACACATACGGATGGACAGTGCCCGTTTCATAATCTCCTAATAGGAATAAAACGTGCAAACTTACCAGTAGCTTTGTCCTTGATGCTTAAAAAAAAAACGAAAACCAGATGATTCCTCCTCCTCACGTTGGTTGCCTTCTTGGGCAGATATAAGTTGGCCTGGGTACTCCAACAAAAACTCCCCTTTTGAGATGTCTCTTTGTGCCACTATCCCTCTTCCTGTAAGAAAAATTACAGTAAGACATCATTACACCAACATTATGGTACCTCTAAACAACGATAGTTGATTGTTGACGTCACAGCTGAAAGTCATCTTCAACAAAATATTGATTTGCAATTTATTTCGTGCAATTTACTTTCAGGCGCACATCTAGACATTGTCCCTATATACTCTATATGTAGTAAATAAGGATGTCCAGCTCAACTCAATTTGTTTTGTTTCTCACTGTTTTCATTTTGGACACCCTCCAAGAGTTGGGTTTGCAGGTTCTGTACATTGTAGAGTTTGAGGAAGTAAGGATTACAAAAAGTATCCAGGAAGTGTGTCTGATTTTCTTATGCCAGATTCACTATTCTATTTCTTTTATGTTGAGATGGAAATGGCAGGAATTTATATGTTTCCAAAAATCACAGTGCCAATTTGATCAGTACAATTAATTTTGTCAGAATATCTTGACAATGTGTACTCGGACAGACGGTGTGAGTTGCCATTGACACCAATATATGTTATTCGATCATACCGGTGTTTACACAATGCCATGTTCCAAACAGTAAAAAAATGATGTATGTAAATATGCCTGGTCAATCTTCGGGATAAAATTGGCGGCGCACAACATGCCATCGAACAGCGCCTTCTAGAACACCAGGTATACATGTACATCCCTTTATGTTATCGTGGTAAGAAGAAATATGGACGGACAGACGGATAACCTAAAAACAGAATGCCTCCGGCACCACTTCATGTCGGAGGCATAAAACAAAAGAACTTGAGTTGAAATGAATGTGCAAAATATGCAAATTATGTTGTTAAGTTATGTTTCTGCTGTGACATCAATCAAATATTGTTGGACAGTGTGATATATTGGAGGCAAGACAAATGATACACGTCCGACACGGATAAGTTCCAGACTAGGAGTGATCTTTATTAGAGGGTTTCACAGTGGCCCTGTAGGCTCATTACATAACTTTGTCTGGCATAAACATATACCAGTAGGTGGCGCTATTACATAGATTGATATGGATTTACGTTGATCAAGATACATCACAGACAGTATACGACCTAAACTTGTAGCAGCCCCATGAAACTTAATTATGAATTAAAAAATGATGTTGCTTACCTTTGTTCTCAAACAGCTTGACAATGAAGTGAGGAGGGTCCTTTTCTTTCTCTGTATTGTGCTGCTACCTCAAGGGGGTTGGGTTTTCCAACACCACAATGTCTTCTTCTGGTCAGCATGTCTAAAAGGGTTAGAGAAAAATAGAAAATGAAGACAAGGCCTATATAAACCAAGAATTATAACAGCATTTAATAGGAAAAACTACAGATGGTATTCATCAAATTTAGTAGGGTTACACTGCTATGGAAGAAGGGATTACATTCCAGTAAGGGAAGTATCAAGTTCCAAAAAGGGGTCCATTATCTATTTTAGTGTATGTCACCATCACCACAAGTGGCCTAATTGGGAATGATGAAATTGGGGGATTGACAATAACTATTTGGCCGCTAGAGGGCGTTAAATTAAATGAATTAAATGCTTGTTTCTGATTGGTTGACGTGCGCTGTTGGCTCAGCGGGTCCAGCTTCAGGTTGTGCTACCTACTTCCGGTCTTTTACGCCGAAATCCTACAGAATTCAATTTTTGCCGGCTAATTTGATCATTTCATCCGCAACGGAACCCCATACTCACAAAAACACTTATTTAAACTGATTTAAATCAATGTTTAAATCACTTTTCGATAGCGTTTTAGAACCGTTCGTTATAATGACGCATCATGATTTTGGCTGATTTCAATAGGAAAGCTATTCACTCGTGCCTGTCCTGGAAGTAGGCAGCACAACCAAAGTAATATAGCGCCGCTATCGGAGAATATCTTACAGCTCTTGTCGATCTCTCGAATTGGTCTTGGATACAAAATTTTGAATACCCAGTGAAACTTACCAGTGACTCTTTCCTTGATCTTGATGCTTGAAAAAAAAAGCCCTAGCCCTGCAACCGCGACTCCTCACATCGCTCGTCTTCTTGGGCAAGTAGTTGCTGCAGGAAAATAAAAACATGTACATATTTTTCATATTGTGTCAGAAAAATTGTGTTAAAAAAGACTGTTTGACCCTACAATGTAGATACACGCACCCGCTATCTCTTGCGATAGCGGTGCACCTACAAAGCTTCCTCTAGAACTTAATTTCCCTGTCTTATTTTTGTTTCTCAATGGAATTGTCATAGATCCAGTCTTGCATGGTCTACAATCCAATGAAAAAATCAGGAAAATTATTTTGACAACCCAAAAAGCATGCAAAGTTTCTGCAGATACTGCATGTTCATCTTTGGGTGTTTCGCGAGCAGTTCAACGCAGAACCCTATGCCAACAACACAAATAAACAGAAATTTGTTTTGTTATAGAGGTCTAGGGTAAATCGTTGTAATCAGCATTTTTTGACATATGGTTCTATATTCGCTGTCGAAGTTGGAATGCGCAGTGCGTGGCCACGCACGCGCACAGTACACATTCGCATATAATCCAACAGCACTTGATTGCCCTGCGTTAAGCATTTGTTTGAGCGGTTGCTATCGAAATGTACAAGCCGGGACCGGGGTCGTTACATAGGCTTCGACAGTGAATAGGAATTAAGCTTCATGCTTTGTACATGTAGGTGCAAGCAATAGCGGGTGCGTGTATCTAGGTTGACCCACAACAATGCAAAACAAAAAAGTTTGACCTTGCAATGATTCCAATGTCAAAATTACCGCTAAGACCAGAAAGATGCACAAGATATTATATTAAATATCGAAGCAAGACTGATCATATCAATCATCCACTTTGACTATTCTATTTTGACACACAGTGACAATTAATAATTTTGACATGGATTTTTACATTTCATTCAAATTGGCAACAATTTTTTTTTTTACCGCGCCTGGCATATTGGCATTCAAAATCCATGAATGTCACCCATTACTATATGATACAAAATCCCCCAAAATGAACAAATGATAATTTATATGGGTTTGAACTCAATTATTACCTTTATGTAATACCTAATTTCAAATTCTTTGACGTCAATTGAAAGTTTTCCACCTCCAAAATACATGATTCGATTGATAAATCCCAATGTACTCGCATATATTGGTGACACGGGTATGTGCCGCTACAAAGACCCCCTTTTTCAGAGCCAATTTTTTAATGAGGGCCGCTCGGCCAGGCCGGGCCGGTTGCCGCTCTCAAGGGTTACAAAATTATTTCCCCCCTTCTCTCTTGCCGCTATGCGGCAAACTCCCAGTTCCCAAACCATATGGCATCCGAACAGTGCGGGCCGGATTTTTGCCCAGAACAGCCAATGCATGAGCGCTGTACATAGCCGCTGAGCGGCGCTCATAGACACATACATGTACACACGCAACAAGCGCGGTCAATTCATGACATGATGGTCGAATTCTGACCCAGACAAGAGTTCCATATTTATACCCCCTACTAAAACATGAGAAAAGAACTTGATAATAATTTATTTGATTTTTTTGGATGTTGAACTTGAAGAATAACACAATGTGTTATGTAATATTTAATGTTGTATCCATTAATGTTAAAGCTATTTCGTCCAGTATTTCTGTCCTAGCGTTAGGGTTAGGGCAACGCGGACTCAGGTGGACTTCCAGTAATTTAAAATTCTATCATAGTCTAGACATAGGTCTAGTCTAACTAAGTAGATTCTATCAGTCGTCAATTTTTTTCAGCGGGGGGGGGGGGGGGGGGGGGGGGGGGGGGGGTGGGAGATCTAGATCTAGGAGTAGGCCTACTAGGACTAGACTCTATATGGAACTCTTGCCATGACCCGTTCTCAAGACCCTATTTTTCACTCAACTTGTTGCCCCCTAGGCTATAGCAAGGCTAAGCCCTATCCTTTACTCAGGGGAGGGCCAATTAGCCCTAGACTCTACTAAACTAGCTGAGTAGACCCTACTAGCTTAATTTGAGCTGACTGCGGCCAGGGGCGTCGCCAAAGGGGGGGGGGGGTGGGTGTGGGGGGTGCGAAATTGCGCTGCCGTCGGGAAAACAAAGAAAAGGGGGAGGGGAAAAAAGAGAGGGAAAGGGAAAGAAAAGAAAGAAAGAAAAGGAAAAGAAAGGAAAGAAAGGAAAAGAAAGGAAAAAAGGAGAGGAAAGGAAAGAGAAGAGAAAAAAGAAAAAGAGGGAAGAGAGGAAAGAAAAGAAAAGAGAAAAGAAAGAAAAGGAGAAAAGGAAGAAAAAAAGAGAAAAAGGAAACAAGGGGAGGTAAGAGCCTGAGAGAGGGGGAGGGGGGGTTGTTGGGTGGAGTCGTCTCGTCGAGGGAGCAAGAAAGACACGCATAAATAAATTGCTGTGTCGGGTCAGCCGTGTCGGTATTCTTGCTCGATCCTCGGGTACTATATAAATGCAGGAATTTGAAGTCGGCGAGATGTATAATGTCGGTTGGCCGACAATTTTTTTCCCCCTACTAACTGTGACGACATCGAGAGAGACTACAACTATAATACTTGTACTTTCTAGAAGTTTGACTTTCCTATAATATCAGCTAAAGAAATCAGAGGTTTAAAAGTTTCGGGTAAACTAAATTCAAACAAGGATTAGAGTCAAGAACGGTACAACGAATCGTCCTTTTTCTCTAAAATGTTAATGAAACGTCAAAGCTTTCGCGCTTCGCGCGGAACATTATTTAGATAAGAATTAAGAGTCGAGAACGGTACGACGAATCGTCTACTTTCTCTATATTGTGATGAAACGCCAAAAAGAAAACGTCAAAACTTCCGCAAGCGCGGGCGGGGGAAAAACTGAATTCAGACAAGGATTAGGAGTCAAGAACGGTACAACGAATCGTCCTTTTTTTCTAATATGTTAATGAAACGCTAAAGCTTTCGCGCTACGCGCGGGAGGGGGAAACTTCATTCAGACAAGGATTAAGAGTCGAGAACGTTACGACGAATCGTCTTCTATCTCTAATAGTTTAATAAAACGTCAAAGCTTCCGCGCTTTGCGCGATTGGGGGAAACTGAATTCAGACAATTAAGGATTAAGAGTCAAGAATACTACACTGAATCGTCTGCTTTCTATAATAATTTAATGAAACGTGAAATTTTCCACGCTTTGCGTGGAAGGGTGGAATCTTCATTCAGACAAGGATTAAGAGTCGAGAACGTTACGACGAATCGTCTTCTATCTCTAATAGTTTAATAAAACGTCAAAACTTCCGCGCGGGAGGGGGTAAACTGAATTCAGACAAAGATTAGGAGTCAAGAACGGTACAACGAATCGTCCTTTTTTTCTAATATGTTAATGAAACGTCTAAGCTTCCGCGCTTCGCGGGAGGGGGGAAACTTCATTCAGACAAGGATTAAGAGTCGAGAACAGTAGAACAGATCGTCTGCTTTTTCTAATAATTTAAGGAAACGTCAAAGCTTCCGCGTTTCGCGCGATTGGGGGAAACTGAATTCAGACAATTAAGGATTAAGAGTCAAGAATACTACACTGAATCGTCTGCTTTCTATAATAATTTAATGAAACATGAAATTTTCCGCGCTTCGCGTGGAAGGGTGGAATCTTCATTCAGATAAGGATTAAGAGACGAGAACAGTACCAAGAATCGCTTTCTCTCATAATTTAATGAAACGTCAGAGCTTCCGCGCTTCGCGCGATTGGGGGAAACTGAATTCATACAAGGGTTTAGAGTCGAGAGCAGTACAACGAATCGTCTTCTTTCTCTCATAATTTAATAAAACGTCAAAGCTTCCACGCTTCGCGCGATTGGGGGAAACCGATTTCAGACAATTAAGGATTAAGATTCGAGAATACTACACAGAAGCGTCTGCTTTCTATAATAATTCAATGAAACGTCAAAGCTTCCGCGCTTCGCGCGGAAGGGTGGAATCTATAAAGTCAGATAAGGATTAAGAGTCGAGAACACTACAACTAATCGTCTGCTTCTCTCATAATTCAATGAAACGTCAAAGCTTCGCGCGGGAGGGCCCTTTGCGCGCTCTTTAAGTGATTCGCTTCTCACTACCCCCTCCCCCTAAAATAGGATCCAAACTAGATCTACGCGCCTGCATTTAAATATATAGACCCCTAGTCTAGATCTAGCTATGATACTGACTAAGTTAACGAAATAATTCTTATATTTATGTCAAGGAAAATGACAATTTGCG